TCTCCAAAACTAAGGTGTATTGCTTGTAACTGCCATATTTATACAAAATCCATTTCTGTGGCCCTAAGCTGGCCATACATTGTAATATTTTCTTCGTTCAACCTGCGAGCTGAACGAAAAAAATATAACAGATTCCTCCATCAATGCTTACTAACTAGTAGTCCATCACTGGAGCCTTTTTTTAAAAATACGATTAACCGATTAATCGAACGTAATAATCGGCCAACTAATCGATTATGAAAATAATCGTTAGCTGCAGCCCTACTTACGAGCATTGATCGGGAAATCTCCTGCTGTTTGCATTGTATTCTGATGGCGGCCCCGCTGCTGTTAGAATACCCAAACAGAGCTGATAGCTCATTGGCTACTCGAAGATTTTCCAACCGGCTCCTTTGACCAGCTGATTGAGGGATTCTGGCCAAAAGGGTGCCATCAGCAGCACCCATTGTGCGCTTATCAGCCGGTTCATCAAGAGGAAGATAAAATGCTGCTAAGTGTTTTACATGTCCTTTTTTTATTAGCTAGCATCTGCCCAGTTAACGGGTGTAAGATAGAAGAGAGTGAAGAAAAAATGTTTGCAGTTTGTAAGGCATCTAACACATTAAACAATGTGCAGTACTGTGATTTTCTGGTAGGTTCTGTTTTTTTTTTTTACTAAAAATAATGTTTTTTCTTTCCTTTCTGTTTTAGAGAAGTTTTTAAAACCTACAATGTAGCGATGGACTATCCAACATTGATCATGATTATCTGGAATTTTGGAGCTGTGGGGATGATCTGTATTCATTGGAAAGGGCCTCTCCAGTTACAGCAGGCTTATCTTATCATGATCAGTGCTCTTATGGCTCTTGTGTTCATCAAGTATTTGCCTGAGTGGTCAGCCTGGGTAATACTGGCAGCAATATCTGTATACGGTACGTAACTTAAAGTGTATTTCCATTTTGTTAGCCAAGTTTTAGAAAACCCCTCTATATATTTGGTGTCTGTTCCCATTTGCACAGCATACCTAAACATAATAAAAAAAAAAAAAGATTCTTGCCTTTAGGTCTCATTCACAAGACTAACAGCCGGGCCATACAGATCCGTGCTGTGTGAACGGCCGGATCGGGTTGCTCCCGGGAAGGACAGTGGCTGCGTGTGATTGGTTGCAGCAGCCTGTTCTTCTCTATGGGAGTACGCGGCCGTATGCTCACCCGAACTGCTCGTCCGTGCGGGTGCGTGTGTCGGTACTCGTACGCAGACAGGATGGATCCTGTCTGCGACCGAGCAGGGACACCCGCACGGAGGTGCAGTTCGGGTGAGCGTACAGCTGCATACTCCCATAGAGAAGAAAAGGCTGCTACGTTCTATTACACGCAGCTCCTGTCCTTCCCAGGAGCGGCCCGATACGGCCGTGCACGCAGCACAGATCTATGGGCCCACTGTTAGTCGTGTGGATGAGGCCTTTAGTTGTTTGTTTGGAGGAGGCCTTTGTGCAGACTGCAAGCTACTCTGAACAGTTTAAAAGGGAGTCTGTCCCAAACGAAAGACTAGGGACATAAAGGTTTCCACTCAATACCATACAATGCATTTAGATCCTCTAACCGTTTGTTAGGACAGGCAGTGTTCAATGGAATTTGCCAACACAGTACAGACAGGGTTGATGATTGAAAACCTTAAAATCCATCCCCCTCCCCTTAACAGTTCAAGTAAAATGCACGTAAAAATAGAAGCAGCAATTTTTTTATTCTTGTTTTAAGTCATCCTATGTGAATGGGAACAAATATAAAGTAAATGTTATACCAATTTGGCTGTAAAAGTGGAGATACACTTTAAAAAAAAGAATGGCTTTATTTGTTATAAAGGGTGAAGAGTATTGCCATGCCAATCCTATTTAGCACTATTGGTTCATATCAAACCATAGATTCTCACTTGAATTCACAACAGAAAAAGCATGCTGCTCCCTTGTTCATTTGCTAAAATTGTGTTAAAAAGCTGTTCATAATGGGCACATTAGCATGGGTTATGAGGCTGGTTGTTAGTGCTTCTGTGTATGAGAAGAGTGCAATAACATCCATGACACACAGCATAGGTGATGACTGAATAAGCCAACAGAACAAACACATTGATGAACTCAATGCAAACAGCTAAACAAATAGGTGAAATATGTATAAGGTAGATCTTTCACCTTCTAAAGAATTTGTATTCTGCCCATCCAGTTCTGAGCTATACACAGCCAGGCCGATTACACCACTTTCTCTGTTACAGTTATAGACTGTACATGGGATACAGTTGTGCCATGTCTCCATCTGCAGCCTACTGATTGGGCAGTGAAGGAGCAGCAGGAGACTGATGAGATCGCCTCTCTGCTTACTCTTGTCTCTCCTGCTGCCAGCATGTTCCTTGTCAGCACATTTGCATGCAGCACTGTTGATTGGTAGCTCCCATTGCTTCACCTCCCCTTCTTAGTCTGTGTGCTGCTTTTGCAGGGAATTGCAAGAGGCTGATACCAAGTCAGGGTTTTAAAATAGATGCACTTAATAATAATGAAATGATTTCTTAATTGATGCCTAGCCGCGTTAATGTGAGTTTTTTTGTGATTTTATATCTGCCTGGATTTCAGCTTTAAAGCCCAACTCTAGCCAAATCTTTGTTACTGCTGATGATATTTTTTCACCCCTGTGTGTGAGGGGGTTTCACTTCCTGTTCTCTTTGGCACCCATCAGATAGACAGAAAGTGAGGAGAAATCTCCCAAACCAGGACATAGGAAGCAATGAAAAGTTGATGGGCTTCCTATTTATTCAAAATGTAACAAAGTTTTGCATAGAGTTGAGCTGTAAGTATAATAATTAAGTTGTTGAGACGTTATCAGTTTTATTTATAGAAATAAAACAGTATATTGTCATCAAAGACTTGGCCATTAAGAATGGCAGGGTGAAGTTAAATATAGAAACCTCATGTCATAAATCCCTAACACCTTCCTGCCGGTGTAACACACAAATGTACCAGCATGGGCGTTGGGCCTTAAATCTGGCTGTATGCATTTATGTGTCAGTCGGTCCGCTGTCCTTTGCCGAGAGGCTCCTAGTCGCTTCTTATGATGGGCTGGTGGGACAGGCTCCTGATCATGTGACCACTGTGACAGAGAATTCAAGCCATCACATGGGAAGCCTGCCTCTGCCTCCCGTTACTTAAAACCTCTTAAAGGGCCAGCGGTAGCTGGCACTAAGGGGGTTAATTGTTGCAATTCTCTCTGTAATCATATGCGTCTATTGTCTCTTTGCTGACAGATTTGCTAGCTGTATTATGCCCTAAGGGCCCTCTGAGGATGCTGGTGGAAACTGCCCAGGAAAGAAACGAGCCTATATTTCCAGCATTAATATATTCCTGTAAGTAAATAGTCTTTTGCATCGTTCTGTCATAGAAAGAATGTCGCTTAGAATTGCTGTAAAAGCAGGAAGTAAGTTACATCGTCCAGGACAGTTCTGAGTATTTCCTGAAAGATATATAGTTCCTGATGCTGGGTGTTTCTGCTAAACACTTTGATGTGTACAGTTGTGGAATATTTATGTTCCAATGTATAATAAAACAAATACCATGTCCTGGTCTCTCCCCAACTCTTCTGTTTCTGGGAACTGCAAAAGGCAAATGTAATACTTTTCTTTATAATTAGTGAGACAGTTGGGAGATATATTGTACAAAAAATATTTATTTCCAGCTGCAGCCAAGTTTACTTAGGCTTTTGGTTACGCAAATATATATATTTCATACATGTGTATAGCCAACGCTTCGTGTCGACTTACATTTTGGCTTCTTTGGACAAACTGTAATCGGAAAAACAAACTGCATGGAAAGATTTTGTAATATTGCTGTTTCTATGTTGAATATTTAGGTGGAGAACAGTGACAAAGGTATCTGAAGTTTTGCTTCTATTATCCTACCATCCAGATCAAAAAAACATTATGAATCCCTTATTCATGATCAACACGTATGCAGTCTATTTATTGTGAAATTACAAGGTCAACTCAGTTATCTTATTAACACAGATGAACAAAAATAGTATTTTTCTTAAATATCTATACCAACACCAGGCACATTGATAATTACATTTTTAAAGCATTTCTATTTTTTACAACTCCCATTTAATGAGTGTTTTCTTAAATATGTGTGTCTAAACCCCACCAAAGCAGCTGCTGGAATGTACAGATTTTGTTCCCCGTGGTCCCTATGTGTGTTGTAAAGTAGCCACCACTCCAAGTTCGCTCTTGTTAAGGACTGCAATCTCAGGTTTAGTTTACTAATTTGTATTGAAATTATAGTCCATCACAGGAGTGGGCTTGGAGTGGTGGCTACTTTACAACACACACAGGGACCATGGGGAACAGAAGTAGCCACCCTCCAGAAGGAAGGACAGTGTCAGCACAAATTCAGAGAAGATTTGAGGATCTACAGCTGAGTGATACACAAATAAGATATATTTTTATTAATAGTTAAGGTACTTGAATGCATTTTTAAGGTTTAAATCCTGAGTTTAGTGTCACTTTGAGACTTTAAAAAATGTAATTATTAATATGTGCCTGACTTAAGTTTGGACTTTAGCCGCTGGAATAGAGCATGGAGCTATTCACAGCAGTTCTTCTTCTGAAGAATTTACAGTCAGATGCACCCAGCCATTAATACCAGTCCCTCTTCTGAAGAGTTTCGGTCAGATGCACCTAACTATTTATATGTCAGATGTACCCAGCCATTCACACAAGTTTATCTTCTGAAGAGCTTACAGTCAGATGCACCCAGCCATTTATACCAGTCCCCCTTCTGAAGCGCTTACTGTCTCATAAACCTAGTCCTGTCACCCCAGTCCCTCTTACGAAGACTTTACTGTCAGATACACCTAAACATTAATATCAGTCCCTTTTCTGAAGAACTTAGTCAGATGCACCTAGTTATTGACACCACTCCCCCTTCTGAAGAGGCACCTAGTCATTCACTACCCCTTCTGAAGGGCTTACAGTCAGATGCACCTTGTCATTCACACCACTCCCCCTTCTGAAGAGGCACCTAGTAATTCACTCCACTATTCCCCCTTCTGAACAACTTACAGTCAGATGTATCTAGCCATTCACACCAGTTCCTCTTCTGAACAGTCAGATGTACCAACCATTTATACCAGTCTCTCTTCTGAAGAGCTTACAGGCAGATACACCTGGCACAGTTATATTTGTTAGAAACCTTTATAGGACCTTGCAGAGTAGCACATGGGCAGAAGCAGTTTCAAATACCAGTAACTTTTACTACTTGAAAGAAATTGAAGCACCAAGTGACAACTCTCACAAACTCAGGATTTTATAGAATGTTTTGAGGCAATTTAATCTACTGTCCTGGTGATATAAGGAAACTGTACGGGACTTCCTGATTTAGTAGCCATAACTAGGTTTTACAGCCACATTATGTCAATTGACCTATAATAGCCAAAGGTGAGGAATCCTCTCTAATGTACTTCTAATAGGAAAGGGAATTTAGCTTATGGAAAATATACTGCACTGTATATCTTTTCAAGGCTGTTTGTTTTACTTGAGTTCAACAAGTGAACTATGTTATTCTAACATTGTATTTATTTTAAAGCTGCCATGATGTGGACGGTAGGAATGGCAGATTCAGACTCAGATCGAGGAATAGATCAACATGCAGGTAACCACACAAAAAAATATCTTTATTAAAATTTAATTCAAGTCTAGTCATTAGCATTCGTGTGTTCTTACTAATAACTGGAGGCCACCTGTCGGATTTAAACCTGCCCTCAATATCTGAACCTGATTGGTGGCTGTGAGGAAATCACACTTGGGCTTCATTCACAGCTGTTAAAAAGGTGTGTTTAGAGATTCCTGAGCTCACTATCCCTGGATGCACGATTGATTCGTCCAGGGACAGTGATCTCTTCCTATCCACATGTAATCATATCACATACGGTGCCAGCCGCTATCACCCCATCATTAACTTGGACGGGTGACAGCTGCGGGCCCATTTGGGATTCCTGCTGCAGAAATTCGTTGGAATCTCTAAATGCACTTTTTTTTAACAGGTTTGAATGTAGGCTTATTCTTAGTAAAGATATGCTAATACAGGGGTGCCCATTAGGTAGATCGTGATCTACCAGTAGCTCTCAAAGCTGATGCTGGTAGATCACGAAGGGTGTGAATGGCGGCCCCTTTATTCCCTACATTCACTACTTATTTGTCTTGCTGTTATTTTAATAGAGGAAAGATCACAAAATGCCAACCATACGTCAGAAGCCGAAGAAGAAACTAGTGAGACCCTAATTCAAACACCCAGCCGCCGAACTGCACCTTCTGATGACGAAGAGGAGAGTAAGTGGCATAAACTTGGCATAAACCAAGAACAGAAGTCTGAACCGATAGTATTTCTTTGTTGTTTATATGTTTCGAAGCAAATACAAAATTAAGTTGTGAAAAAATAACAATAATGGGGAAGGAGACCTAAGCTAAAGTTTAACTTCACTTGCTATGTAGGAACTATTAAACAGTGAAGATGTCAAATATGTAAACAAATAAATCTGCGCTTCTGGAAAAATAAAATTTAGTAATAAATTAAATTAATTAAATTAATAAAGTAAGAATAAATGTGAATAGTTATACCCCAAGCTGCTCTGAAAAAGGTGGAACCTAGTATGATCAAAAGAAACAAAGCGCTAAAGGTAGCTGTATGAGCAAAAGAATAAGCTATAATTGATTCTGGCGAGGTCAGTATGGAAGCTAATATAAAAGTATAAAACAGGACTAGCTTCATAAACAAGTATAGATATAACCAGTCTAACCAAAATACAAAAATCAATTAGAACCACTAAAATTCATTCAGATGGAATAAATAAACGAACAATGTTTAAAACGTCAAAATCAGTGTCCAATGCTTAAAAAATCCAAGTGAAAGGTGGTTTCCATGTGCAAATATAAAAATGTGCAAAAAATAGCAGTGTACTTGAGATTGATCCAAACTGTCCCTCTCGGGTAACAGGTGAACGGTAAGTTCCGTGTGCAAATGTACAAATGTGCAAAAACAGCAATGTGCTTCGAATTGTTCCGAACTGTCCCTCTCGGGTGGGTACTCACCAGAGTGAAGTTGGTAGAAAACTTTTAGTGAGTGGTGCCGGGATTAGGTTTTAGCACAGGTGTATTCCCCGCGGGTCTCAGCAGCTGAAGCAGTTGATTTTCTCCTCTAAGCCGTTTGGCTATATCTCCCAGATGAGGAGTCCGGTTTTTTTGGGAAAAAATAATAATATACTTTGCCGTTTGTCCCGCAGGGTTTTTCAGAGATAAATAAAAGAGAAAGAAAGAACCTTCATTGCGCAGTATATAAAGCCATAAACTTTTATTCCAAAAATTGGCTTACAAGGCAAAAAAATATACCGACCAGCTAAAAACAGCACAGAGACAAACGTGAAGCTTCGTGTCTGGCTAAACTTAGCATCTACCCTCCTCGACGCGTTTCGTCATGTGACTTCCTCAGAAGGGGGGTGGATCCATGTTTATGAAGCTAGTCCTGTTTTATACTTTTATATTAGCTTCCATACTGACCTCGCCAGAATCAATTATAGCTTATTCTTTTGCTCATACAGCTACCTTTAGCGCTTTGTTTCTTTTGATCATACAAGATGTCAAATATGACTCAGGTTGTTAGTGCTGCCTGTGTCCCCAGCTGGGAAGATTAACCCTCTTTTATATGTGCTGGTGACCATTGCCGACCGGTACAGACAAAATTGTACTGTTGTCATCGAAACATTAGGTAAGGTTAAAACTTCCAATTGGTACACCTGTTTAGTGGCAACTGGATTTCCTCTCAAAGAGATTTCCTCTAATTCCTGGGACAGGACGTGAAAGGTCTCCCTAACAGTTAGAGCCAAAAATAGTAACAGGAGATCTAACCATTAATTTCAAAACTAGAAGATGGAAGAAAAAAACTAAACTTACTGGACCAATGTTACGACTATGGGGAATTGGATGTAATGGATGTGTCAGTTTACATCAGATTACCCCCGGTCCATCATGATCAGGTCCACCAAATAGAACTTTGTTCCTTCTGGCTTTCCAAACCTCGCGGGAGTCGGGTTTAGATTCAGGTGCCTACAGACTAACATTGAGCTTCCTATCAGATCAACCTGAAAAACTGACAGGCGTACCTGATCGGACAGTCTATCTGAACGGTCTCTAAGGCCTCATTCACACAGGGCGTGCTCCTCTGTACAACGTGAAGAGCCAGTTATTGATGCATGTGGGGCTGTGGGAAATGGCGTGCGGGCAGCTCATTTACCTTTGTGTAGAAGCAGGAGCTTTGCGCTGTTACGCGCTGCTTTCCACAGCTCCGAGTTCTGACGTATCCAGGTATGTGCTCCAGAAAGCAGTGTGTTACTTTGTGGAAATGTCCCATAAGGACATTCCATTCAACTCTATGCAGAGTGGTGTATCATTGCAACATGCTGCGTAAAAATACAGTATGTCCTACGTTTTGTAGGTTGAGGGTCACAGGTACAGATAAACATTTCCTACAATCAAAGATCATAGTGTGGTGTTCAGCACACATGCAGTGGACATTAGCTTCTTCTATCATTTTCTAATCATTTTTTCAACAGGGGGAGTAAAGCTCGGCCTTGGGGACTTCATTTTCTACAGCGTACTAGTGGGAAAAGCTGCAGCAACAGCTAGCGGAGACTGGAATACCACACTTGCCTGCTTTGTTGCTATTCTAATAGTAAGTACTGGAATCTTTATAATGGTGGGAGGGAGGGATGGCAGGAGGTTAGTGAAACAGTTAATACTTTACACAATAAGGCAGATTAAAGCCCAGGAATCCAGGGAAATATATCCAGCAGAACATTTCTCCAGTGTTTGCCCAATGTTCTTTGAAGGGTAGATGATCTGAACAACTCTTCATTAGAAACAATGTATCTGTTGGTCTGCCTCTCTCCGATTTGGTTCATGTGGCCTATCTTTCCATGGTTTCATAGCTATGCCATGTCAACTGTTATTTTCTTGGTTTATTCCCAGAAAATAACAGTGGCCAGTAAGGGCAATCTTTTTGGGCAGGTAAACTGCAGTTTGTGGAGATTATTTAAATCAGGGAAATGTAGACAACAGTAATGAAGTGAAACTTAAAGTGAGCTTTCATTTTTTTTTTGTACTTTGTCATTTCCTTCCTCCTATCTTTTACACATTTGCTAAAAAAAAAATGAATATTGTGTGACCTGTACATAGTTTAATATTGCTCATCCACTAGTTGCTTCTAGTAAGCCCACACCTGGAGAAGTAGCTCATTTTTATAGTCAAACCTTACCAATATTTAATAATGATCTGTTGTTTTTTTTTGTATTAGTTTGTGCCGTAACATTTTCTGTTTAAAACCTTGGACATAAAGAGCATGACAGATAAAGCGAAAGGCAGCGATTGGTGCAGCTAAAGAGCATTAGATACATAATATATACATTTTTAGGGGGACACAATTACAGAGACAATTACTTGTATCTTGTATATGTAACCGTGGTTTCCCCAGATATTTATGTATGTGATGTTTATTCATTTCTTCTCACAGGGACTATGTCTGACCCTTTTACTACTGGCAGTTTTCAAGAAAGCACTACCCGCACTACCAATTTCTATCACATTTGGCTTGGTATTTTATTTCTCTACAGATAACATTGTACGGCCTTTTATGGACACCTTGGCCTCACATCAGATGTATATATAGCAGAGTGATTTTTCCGAATAGACATTTTTTTGGAACCTGTGACCAGTATGTGTACATATGTGCTTTTACCTTTAGTGCCATATATATATATATTAATATATAAAAATAGCAGGGATAGTGTGCACAACACATGGTATTCGTAGGAACAAAACCAAAGTTTTAATTTGGTGTATCTTTATAGAAGAACATAAATGAGCTGTGTTTACAGAACAAGAAACCTTACAAGAGATTAATTTACATCTGCAATAAATCTAAACTGCACAGTTTGCTTAACGGCCAGTATCCCAAGTGATCTAATGTGTGTAGATGTACGTGTAGCAGAAGCACAAAACATAAAAACTTTCTTGTAAGGTGTTCCCATATAAAGTGCACCTATTTACTTCCTATGGATACATCAGTATGCAAAGAAGATACTCTGTGAGTCCTACAGAGGAATAGACACACCCAGACTTCACATTTCAATGTATTGTTGTGGGTTGCGTGGTTGACAGATCCAGACACAAGGCTTGTTCATTGAACACTGCATTATGAATAGTTTTGATAATCTCACATCTGCAGCATGATCTAGAACTAGGTCTCAGTATGCTGCTTAGGGCATGCTGAAGCTGTAAGTTCCTGTTTGGCATGGATATCTGTTTGGAGACCTTTAGGTATGATCACAAGTAGCAAAATCAATTAGAGCAAGAAAATCCATACAGCAGGACATCGAGCGCTTACAGACTTCATTGCGCTTTGCACTGCCTTAAATAAACTTAAATATCATTTTTCTGCCAGCATTAAGGACCCCGTCATTGTTGTATCAGAATTGGTTCAAAACACTTGGAAATGACACAGGGAAATATTAAGGCACGACTGCAAAAGTAATTACTGGTTTATTTATATTTTATTGCACATTTTCTAGGTGCAATATACTGTAGAGATACTTTATTTTGCCCATACTAATACATTTCTCAGAAAATAAAGTAAGCACAGAATTTATACATATATTTGTTCTAAATTGGCACAGTTCATGGTAGTGTATGTGACAATAAACTACTACGCTAAGACACTAAAGAAAGGAGGTCTTGGAATGATGTAAACGAATCCAATAATGTATATGGCCCCATTGTTCAAAGTGTGTTAGTGCAACAAATCCAGTGCAAGTTTCAATCTGATTGGTTGCAAGAGGAAACCAATCGTATTACTTTTAACAAAGAATGGATAATGACATAAAAGCACAACCAAATTGACTATATGTTCTTTGTACAATATCCAAGACTGTAAATGTACAAAAAAAAATACAGAATTAAAGTGTAAAAAGGAAAAAGTATGTATCAAGGAGAGAAAACGATAATGGTGAAACAAAGGATAAAAAGTCACCAAATGGTTGAACCCATAATAACCCTAAAGTTAGAAGGGTAAATGGTTAAAAAAAAAAACATACTGTACATTTTCAAGTAATGCCTCTAACATTGATATGACCTGAAATAGAAATATTTTTGAAACCATGGTAACATGAATTTAGTATGGCATCTTTATCTGGGCGTCCTTTGTAAAAATTGTTCTGGGTCATGTTTTATGTTTGAGGCTTTAGAGTAAAACTAAAGCCAAAACTTTTTATTTTGGTTTTGGATAGAGTAATGAAGGGTTATATCCACTGTCAGCTTTTTTGCCATCTGTGTCTCAATGGGGAGATTTCCCTTCACTCCATGTGCAATAAGCAAAACAGGAAGTGAGAAGAAATCACTCCAAAGTGAGGGAAATCCCCTGTGGTAAGGAGATATACAGTCTCCTTGTGAGAGCGCAAAAGTTTGTATTTTCTTTCACTTTCAGTGATAACGGTCACCAGGACAAGTAGAGAAGGTGAATCTCCCTAACAGGGACACAAGAGAGCAATAAAAAACAGACGTGTTCTCATCCCTCTCCACTCTATCCAAAACTAAAAAGAAAGTATTGGCTCCAGTCCAGTACCTTAAGACCCAAGCTGTATGCCCTAGAAATGTAGAGATCTACTTGACTCGCTTCAAAGATATTTTGTTATTTTCTATCTTTAAGGTATATTAATAAAAAAATAAAGGTTTGATTAGTAGCTCAATTTCTCTAGATCATTCATTCTTTCTTGACGGTGGCAGCAAGTCTTTTTTGTGGCTATGAACTACCTGTGTTAACAATTAGTCTTCTAGATTGCTATTGTTTGTTCTAGCTCACTGACTCTTTCATATTAGAGGCTCTTTTCAAGGACTTTCTTAGTGACCTTTTTTGTAAAGTGTTTAATCTATTATTGCCGATGGGAGTAATTTATATCTTGAGGGGACCTCTTTCATTATCAGGAGGCTAGGGATGCACAAATACCGATACTAGTATCAGTATCTGTGCAGATACCAAGTATTTGGGCAAGTACTCACCCAAATGCTCTGATACCTTCCCCGATACCGGAACTTCCGCTCAGAGGGAGATTTCGTCTGGCCGGCAGTGCCGCGAGGGAACATGGAGACAGCTCCCTGGCCAATCAGGAGGCCAAGCGGCGGTTACGGACTCGCCTCCCGGCTTCCTGATCAGCATTGAGCCAGCTGTTTGGCCGACTCGAAGCTGATTGGCTGGGGACCTGGCTTTCCGGCCAGTCAGCATCGATCCGGCTTCCCAGGCAATCAAGAAGCCGGGTGGCGGATAATGACACGCCCCCTGGCTTCCTGATTGCCCGGGAAGCTGGCTCCATGCTAACGGAAGTACCGGTATTGAAATATAAATATTGGTACTCTTACTCTATACCAAATAAAAAGTATCTGTGCATCCCTACAGTAGGCAATATGGAGTTACTGGGATCAAAAAGACTCTACTCCCAGTTATCTGTGAAATTTTTGTAGGTAACCTAGGAGGCGTAAATTTGTAATAGCCCTTGTACCAGCTATGTTGCTGTATTTCTAGCTATTGCACATTCTTCATCTAGCAAGTACATAACAAGAGTTGTTAAAATAGCAGTTCCTATGTGATGTTCATGAAAAAGCTTACCCATTGGCTAAGCATGCCCTTTATGCGAAAACTCAAAGACTGCTCAGTCTCCTCTACTTCCCCCTGCTCATAGGGCTGAAGGTGGAATCTCAGAACGGTGCTAGGTGTCCGGTCCACTTGGCCCCATTCACACTGAGCGATTTATCGCGTGGATATCCGTGCGATATCGCTCTCCAAAGCAAGTCAATGGAGCTGTGCTCGGGTCGCACGTCGCTACTGCAGGACCCTTTTTTTTTTGCGCGGATGTTGCGCGATTGCACTTGGTCCAATGCAATCATTTGCACGATAGCGCGCGGAAAACTGCGTGATATTGTGCAAAATGACCATTGCGCGACAAACGCGCGATTTGCAATCCGCTCAGTGTGAATGGGGCCCTATATTGCAGAAGTGCTGGACTGCTCGACAACAAGCAACCAGGAAGTACCCTGATCTTCTTGTGGTCGTCAGAAGGGAGGTTGTTGAATTTCCTGAATCATTAGGAAATTGGGATCCAAGGAGAAAGAATAAGATAGGACACATAGGGAATATTTATTATTGGTAAGTTAAACCCATATATGTAATATTTTAATATTGGGTTACTTGGATGTCAAAGTCTTTTTGTTTCAATAAGGATCTAAGGTTGTTAATGGTGTATCTCAAGGTTCATTGTAGGGACCTTCACTTGTTTCACCTGTTTATAAATTACAGTTGTGCTCATAAGTTTACATACCCTGGCAGAATGTATGATTTCCTGGCCATTTTTCAGAGAATATGAATGATAACACGAAAACCTTTCTGTCACTCATGGGTAGTGTTTGGCTGAAGCCATTTATTATCAATCAACTGTGTTTACTCTTTTCCAATCATAATGACAACAGAAACTACCCAAATGACCCTGATCAAAAGTTTACATACCCCAGTTCTTAATACGGTGTGTTGCCCCCTTTAACATCAATGACAGCTTGAAGTCTTTTGTGGTATGTGTGGATGAGGCTCTTTATCTTCTCAGATGGTAAAGCTGCCCAGTCGTCCTGGCAAAAAGCCTCCAGTTCCTGTAAATTCTTGGGTTGTCTTGCATGAACTGCACGCTTGAGATCTCCCCAGAGTGGCTCAATGATATTGAGGTCAGGAGACTGAGATGGCCACTCCAGAACCTTCACTTTATTCTGCTGTAGCCAATTACAGGTCGACTTGGCCTTGTGTTTAGGATCACGTGGACAGGCATAGCAGCTGAGGAGATTAGGGGTGGGTGGAGCCTGATGGGGAACTCTGGGAGACTAGTTCCCCATCATGTTCACCTCCCTTGTGATTGACAGTAGACAGCAGTGGGTAGATTCCATAGCACACGTCTATTCTGTCTGCTATCAATCACAAGGGTGGTGGACCTGATTGGAAACTAGTCTCTCAGCTTCTCCATCAGGCACCACCTATTACCGTTCACCCACGTCATTGGTTGCAAGTAGGCTGTTGGCTATGGAGCCGACAGCCTCCTAGCAACCAGTGACCCATCCTGGGCAACATTCAGCTACCAGGAGATTCCCTGGTTGACTACTGAATGTTAACAAAGGGGCGGGAACACTGGCTGACACATTTGCCCAGATATGGCTATTGCCATATTTGAGTAATGATGCTACAGGAATGAAAATACTGTACTGCATTTAATATGCTTTGAAGCCAGGTATGATGGGCCTTTATCTGCAAATGCAGCGTACTCTTCTTTTAAAAGTTGTACAGACTGACACTTCATTCAGCTCTATGCACTGCAGTGCGCTGAATTATTATCAATATTCTAACTAGTTTCTGAAAATGGGAGCTAACAATTATCCAACAGTGGGCCAATTCATGTGTAATTCAGCTGGCCTAGTCTATCTAATGGAGCCTTTCCCAACCAGGGTTACATTGATTCCTAGGGTTCCTCCAAAGGTTGCTAGGAGTTCCTTAATTTCTACTGCTCAGATATCTCTAAGGCCTTGGTTCTCAACTGGTGGGTTGTGACCCAAAAGTGGATCGTGACTCCGTATTCAGTGGGTCGCCACATGCCTTCCACTTCTCTAGGTGAGAGGCTCCTAAGCCTCCCCCTAGTGCAGCACTGTCAGTTCTCGTGCCAAGCAGCCATTCAAAATATGCAAGAGCGTCAGCTTCAGGTGGGGTGGGGTGGGATGGGACTATTGCCACGAGGGAGCAATGCATACATGCATTGCTTACAGCTCCCTCACGTGTCCTGTAGAGGTGCCTGGACCGGAGTGATGTCACTTTCTGGCTCCCGACACCTCTACAGGGTGCACAAGGGAGCTGTACAAGCAATGCACATATGAATGGAGCTTCTTCACAGCAGCCCAAACTGAACCCCAGGCTGAGGATCCACTCCAGACCACGTGCTCTGGTGTGGGATGTGTGTTGCGTTACCATTCATTTGAATGGCACCCCAAACACACCTCCCATCCAGAGTTCGATTGCCCACACCTGCATGCACGGTACCGCAATGCTATGCATTCCATTGCAGTGCGATCTGGGGCACGACTTGATGACCAAGGACAAATGTGGGTCCTGAGGTTACACTCAGGACCCTTGAGAACCACTGCTCTAAGGGGTGCAGTCTCACTTTCCACTGACCACCAAGGACAGGACACGACATTCTTCCCAATAACCACCTATATAAGGAGCATTCTTCCTACTTATCACCAATGTAAGAAGCATGCTTTTTCCTGACCACCAATATAAGGAACATTTTTGCCACTGATCACCGACGTAAGAAACATTCCAATCACTGACCGCCAGTGTATGGAACTTTCTGCCCACTGATTACCAATGTAAGGGACATTTATCTGACTGATCACCAATATAAGGCTGGGCACACACCTTACAACCATCGCAAGACTTCTGTCTTGCGATGGTTGTAAGGTACTTAAAAAAAAACGTACGATCTGCCTATCTTGCATAGGCAGATCGTACTTGCGATGATCACAAGACACGCCCCCTGAGAGGCGGGCATCCGATGACAGCAATGCCGAACGGGCAGTGTGCGCTTGCGCACACCAGCCCGTCTGGCTTTTATCTTACGAACATGCTACACACCCGCCGAACATCGTACGATGCTCGGCGGGTTTTGAAACATGTTCGTAAGTTTAAAGTCGTCGACCTTAAGGAACATTTTTCCCACTGGCCACCAATGAAATGAACATTCTTTCTAATGACCATCAAAGTAAGGATCATTCTTCCCACCAAAGTAAGGATCATTCTTCCCACCAAAGTAAGGATCATTCTTCCCAATGACCAACAATGTGAAGTGGTGTCAAATAAAGTTTGAGAAAGGCTAAACTAAGCTGTGCCTGAGGACTGAGTCATAACAGTCACAGTTTACACCAATCAGTCATAACATTATGACCACTGACAGGTGAAGTGAATAACATTGATTATCTTGTTACAATGGCACCTGGAAGTGGGTGGGATATATTGGGCAGCATGTAAACATTTTATCCCTAAAGTTGATGTGTTGGAAGCCAAAAAAATGGGCAAGCGTAAGGATGTGAGCAATTCGACAAGGACCAAATGGTGATGGCTAGGCGACTGGGTCAGAGCAACTCCAAAACCTCATTGTGAGATGTTCCAAGTCTGCAGTGGTCAGGACCTACCAAAGTAGCCCAAAGAAGGAAAATCGGTGCAGCAGTGACAGGTTGATGGACATCCAAGGTTCATTGCGTGCACTTGGAGAGCAAAGGCTGGCCCATGTATTCCGATCCAACAGAAAAGCTACTGCAGCTCACATTTCTGAAAAAGCTAATGCTGGTTCCGAAAGAAAGGTGCCTTAACGCACAACAAACATGTTACATCCACCAGCCTATCACAGCTCTTGTATCCCGAATATCCTACAACAAACATGGCACATCCACCAGCCTATCACAGCTCTTGTATCCCGAATATCCTACAACAAACATGACATATCCACCGCCTATCACAGCTCTTGTATCCCCAATATCCCACAACAAACATGGCATAACTAACAGCCTATCACGTGATTCGGCGCGTCTCCGCTATTGGCCAGGCGTTCGGCGCTGGTCATTTTGCTGCTGCCGGGCAGGAAGGCGGGGATTAGGAAGTGTACGATTCGGTTGCCATATCTCCGCGCAGCTTCCGGTGCACGCGTTGCGCTCCCCTGTCGTG